TAGGTTTGGCCTTTTTTTTTTTCATATTTTGGCCAAAAATTTGTGAGTAAAATTTGGTCAGTTTTCTGTACAATTTTATTTTGTTTCTGTTTTATATATATATACCTCTACGAGACGAGACGAAACGATGTTTGTACCCGTACAACGTCGTACAAGACGACAAGCGTTGCATTATTAAGTAGTAGTTGAACGTTTTACATGTTAAGAAATTATGAGTTTCATTTCTTAAATCAGTTAACCCACTATTTACTATGTTTGTTTTATAGTAGTGTTTTGTTGGCTTTTTTTAACCATTAATTTGGCCATAAATTTCCCCAACCATCTGGCAACCCTGGCTCCAACAGACATTCACAAAAGAGAATGACAGGAAATGAGATTAATCTACAATCTGGTGACCTATAACGATTTAGTTTAAATTAACCCTTTTCATTCCAGTAGATCTCCATTTTTCCATTTTTTGTTTAAATTATAATTGCTATCTTTTTTAAATTTTCATTGCTATCTACTTATCTTTTCATGACTTGTAATTTTTATGTATTATATGTAATCTTGCTTCGAAATTTCACGCTCAAACATTCCAAATACCACGTACGCAAGTTTTCTAATTATGCGCATGCGCCTTAGTTGTAAACTGTATAATGACGAAGAGCTGTGGCTCGAAACATTATCCTTCTTTAATTTGAATAAAAATATATAAAAACTTGGCGATTGTTCAAGCTATTATTTAATTTTGATATTTTCGTCGCGTATGTGGTTGTAATTATATTTATCTTTTTACAGAACGTGGCTTTTGACAAGGAAGGGTTAATGTACTTAATACTAATACCCATTTGTAAATTGTATGCCTTCAAATTCGATGACGAGGAATCCACTTTAAGACTAATAATGGCTGGAGACGGCTTGAATGGGTAATGAAAAAAAAACTTTAATATAAGTTTAACATAACAGCAAATGTATGCCTTCAAGTTTAACTTTAAATTATATTATTATGTTAGATTATTCGAAAAAGTTTATAGCTTTAAAGTTTAAGTTAATTTAATCGAATCATTATGATAACAGAGCATTGAAGCCAATATTTACCAGTTCCACTATATTATCACTTAGTTATCACCAAGTTATGATATTTATAAGTGTAATACTATTAGTACTAGTATTACTATTAGTCTTACATAAGTTGTGGGAAAGTATCCAATGGCTCACATATCCAATCTTTAACCTCTTTCAAAACCCTTGGGGAAATATTATCTGGCCCAGGAGCCTTATCATTTTTATACTTCCCAATTTGTTTATTAACAAGCTCAGAATTAGAAGCCTTGTATATATAGCACCTTGTCAAATGCTTTCTAAAAATCTAGATACACCAAATCTACACCCTTACCCTCGTATACATAAGCAGTAACCTTTTCCTGTATTTCTATTTTATCTTGTTTTTAGTCCTAGGTATTGTAAGTGTATTAGAACATCAGAATATGTTCATATACAGCCAGGTGTAAAGTATAGGCCTAAAACTCGAATATTATTGCCCATATAACTATAGTTATCCCATTTATTTTCCTCTTAAAAGACACAAGTGTACTATTAAACCTTATCTTTGAAAGGAGTGATGTTTGATAAGTTATATTTGTGTGGATCTATATATTCATTTGCCTGATGACTTATGTAATAGCTGTTGTTAGGGGTAGAATGAATAAAGAGAATCTACTTTGTTTACTTGTGAAAATGCTCAGCCTCATTCTTGTGGCAACCTTGACATACCATATATGGCAAACCATGTCCTTGTGTATTGCAAGGTTAAGCGTCCCTTATGTGATGTCATTTCAGTGTCTACCGACTGACTGGCAGACAACACATTACTATATACTGGTGTAAGTAGTTGAAACAGGTGACTGCTCCAAGCAGCTTTTGAAAAGTTAACACAGAGGAGCTTATTGTTAAGTACAATGCATTAAAAAAATGGTCATAATAACTTAGTTCTGTCAGGGATACTGCCAAAACTTAACTGTGGGGATGAAATTATAAGTAGGTCACTAGGGTTAAATGTTAGGCTTAGGTTAATATCTAAGAATGAGCAGGATGGCCAGTTGAATTTGTGAAATCAGTTCAATGGGATAAAGGAACATTTTGGAATGATTGGTTACATTTAAATAGGGTTGAGGCTGGCTTGTTTGCAAGGGCTATTAACTCAACTGTAAGAGCAGCTTTAAACTAGGACTAGAGTGGTGAGAGCCAGAATAATGAAGAAAAAATAATAAACTTAAGATAAGACCCAAAACTCGAGCGCTTTAGAATAGTTGACTATTATTCTTCAGGAGAACAAAGGGTGACCTTTACCCTGCGCAATGC